TCCTGTAATACTGGCTTGGTGATGATAAATTCCTTTAGCTTATTTTTGTTTGGGAAGCTCTTTATCTGTCCTTCGACTCTAAATAATAACTTTGCTGGATAAAGTATTCTTGGTTTTAAATCCTGGGTTTCATCACGTTGAATATTTTGTGCCCAGTCCTTCTATCCTGCATGGTTTCTTTTGAGAAATCAGCTGCCAGTCTTATGGGTGCTTTTCTCTTGCTGCTTTTAAGATTCTCTCTTTGTATTTAACCTTTGGCATTTTAATTATAATGTGTCTTGGTGTGGGCATCTCTGGGTTCCTCTTTCTTGGGACTCTCTGAGCTTCCTGGGGTTGTATGTCTGTTTCCTTCACCAGGTGAGGGAAGTTTTCCACCATTATTTCTTCACATAGCTCTTCAACTTCTTGTTGTCTTTCAGGTATCCCTATGACACAGATATTCTTACATTTAATTGTGTCCCATTGGCCCCTTAAATGATTGTTATAGTCTTGGCTTCTTTTTTCCTGCTGTTCTGATTGAGTGTCCTCGGCTTCTCCATCCTCTATATCGGTGGTCTGATCCTCTTCTTTACCCACTTGTTTATTCCCTCTGAGATACTCTTCATCTGAGATAATGTGTTCTTCATTTCTGACTGGTTCCCTTTTATAATTTCCATTTCCATTTTTATGTATTTTATCTCTTTGGTAAGTTCTCACTGAATTCATCTACACTTCTCTTAAGTTCATTGAGCATCTTTATAACCCGTGTGTTGAATTCTGCATCTGTGAGATTGCTTGACTCTGTTATATCCGGATCTCTGTTCTGTTCTCTCATAAAGTTTCTGCTTCTTTGTCTTCTCATTTTGGCTGCCTTTCTGTGTCTGTTTCTATGAACTAAGCAAAGCTCCTAAGTCTCCCAGTCTTATTAGCATGGCTTTGTGTAGTAGGTGTCCCGTGGCACAGTCCTGAGAGGGGTTCAGCTCAGGCCAAGTTTAGCCCCAGCCTGTGCCCCTCCGGGGCCACCTGTTAAGATTCAGCAAGCACTCCACAGATGCTGTGCTTATAATTGCCTCAAGAGGCCACACCAGAAACTGAGGCCAGCTGCCACCAGTGTGAGTCTTGGCGCTGCTCAGCAAAGAGCACCAGACTTGCCGAGGACACACCTGAATGTGGCTTGGGTGGGGCTGTGAATTGGAGGAGGTGGAGTTTCAGGGAATCCTCTGGGCACAACAACCTCTGTTATCAGTTTGATGACTTCTCAGGTATGACGGCATTGAATCTGTGCACTGGGAAGGAGTAGGTAGGGCTCGCAGAGGAACAATGGATCCCGCTGGCATGTCTGCTCAGGAGAGAGCCTTGCCTCTGGCCCTCGCTCCAACAACTCAGTGTCCTCCTGTCAGTCCCTGGTGCCCCCTCTCCCTCCCCCCAGCAGCCAGCTGGGCCCTGGTGCTCAGAGTGAACAGGTCCCTCACTGCGAAAGGCTGCTCACCAACACTACCTTCTACCATTGCAGGTTAATTAATTACTTCTCTCCCTAGTGGTAGTGCTTCTGTTCATCTAGATCTCAGGCAATGTTCCCTGCTGTTTGCTCTGTGTTTCTATCACAACTTTAATTTGGTTGCAAGAGGGATGAACAAAGCCTCTATTATCTACATCATTTTTTCCCCCTCAAGATTCCATCTCTTTAAATCCTCTGGAAGTCACTTCAGTTGGAGGGGTGTTGCAGCAATTGTGGTGGGGATTGCAACAATGACTTCCTGCCTTTGTTTCTGCCCCTTCATGATCACAAGGATCAATCAGCTATCTGAGCATAGATCCCTAATATTTGGAGGATGGAGTGTTTATTGTTCGCCTTGGCTCCGACAAGCTGAATACTCGTGGATGGCTGCCTGCCATGGTGCTGTCGGTTAGGAAGTCAGGGATGGGTAGCCAGCATTGTGCTGTAATTGACTAAAGTTAATTATGATTTACTGTCCAAGTTTATGAAAGTTATGTCTCTAAATACAGTCCAGCATTCCAAAATAGCTACATAAGACGGATCCTGCCAGTGCAATTGTCGTCCAGGTGGAGAGATGAGTTCCTGATGTTCCTTTCTGCCACATTCCCTTTGGTCTGACTTCATACACAGGCTTTTGGGTGAACATAAATTTTCATTTTTCTGGGAATCATACCCAAGAATGCAATTTCTGGATTGTATCATATTTACAATGTTTAGTTGTTTAGGAAACAGCAAAATTATTTCCCAGAGCAGCTGTACCGTTTAACATTCCCCCCAGCAACATATGAGGAGTCCAGTTTCATTGTGGTTTTAATTTGCGTTTCCCTAATGGCTAATGAAGTTGAATATCTTTTCAAGTGTTTATTTGCCTTACACTCTTCAGTGAAATATCTGTTTACGTCTTTTGCCCATTTGCTAGTTGGGTTATTTCTCTTTTACTGTCGTGTTTTGATAGTTTTAAAAAATACATATTCTAGCAAAGTGATATCAGAAAATGATGGAGTAGGATGTTCCCTGCTTGTATTCCCCCCTCAGCAACAGTAATTTGGCAGCCATCCATGGACAAAAGTGCCTTTATGAGAGCCTTGGGATCCAAGTAGGGGACTGTGAAATCCCAGTGGCGTCTCAGACCTAGGAGGACCATTTTGAGAATGCAGGCTGTGCCCAGGTGGCTGACATGCAACCATGGTTACAGACATGGATACAGTTCCATCCCCCTGTGGACTTAGATACATTCTTGTATGGCCTTGATCCAGCCACCAGCACCAGACACCAAGGGACCTGGGAGGAGTCTGCCTGTGTCTGCCTGTGTCTCATGTAATAGGTCCACAACCTTGGTCCCAGCCGTGGATCCTGAAGTGGCCTGGGAACCAGCTCCAGCTCTTCATAGCCAGTCTGAGAGCCCCTAGAGGCAAGCCGACCAAACTTTGTCTGACTGCAGCTTCTGAAATGGCCCTATAACTCAGTTCCAGCTCCTCCAAGCTTTTTTGTCATCCTAGGGACCCAGTGAGACACATGTTCATCTTCACTCTTGGAGATTCTGAAATGACCCTGTAATTTAGCTCCGGCCTCTCCCAGATGCAGTCCACAGGCAGTCCTACCAGCCTAGGGACCCACTGGGAGACATACCTATCAGTGACCTTGGAAGCAGAATGGCCAATTTCAAAAGCAGCAGAAGAAAAGCAACTTATTACATGAAAGGGTCCCCCTCACCAAGACTATCAGTGGATATCTCAAGAGAAAACTTGCAGGCCAGGGGGATGTGGGATGATGTATTCAAAGTGCTGAAACGAAAGAACCATCAAGAATACTATACCCAGCACTTCTGTCCTTTCGATTGAGGGAGAGATAAAGGCCAGACAGACAAATGCAGAGGGAGTTTATCGCCACCAGACCTGCCTTATAAAAAGACGTGAAAGGGAATTCTTCAGGCGGAAGTGAATGAATGCTAAGAAACAACATGAAAACGTGAAAGTACAGAACTCGTTGGTGAAGTTAAATATATCGTCAAGTTTAAGTTACTCGAACTCTGTAATCATGGTGCATGAATCACTTTTAACTCTGCTATAAAAGTTAAAAGATAATAGAATAAAAATAACTACAGCTGCAATAAATTTTTGTAATTTATAATGGGCACGCACTATAAAAAGACGTAAAGTGTGGCATAAAGTGTGGAAGGAAGGGAAGTTAAAGTAGAGCTTTTTTTTTTTTTGTATGCAATCGAAGGTAAATTAACAGCTTAAAACAGATTGCTTAACTATAAAATGCTTTGTGTGAACCTCATTGCAACCACAAAGAGAAAACCTCTAGATGAAGGAGAGAAATTAGAGTAGACCACTACAAAAAATAAATCAGTCAGAAAACAATGAACATAATGTCACTAGTAAGTCCTCTAATAATAATATATATATATTTTTGTAGTGAGGGATCGTTTGCAGGAGGCGAGAGGAGACCTTCTAC